AATGGAAAATATACATGAAGTTATCTATGGAATTGTCAACCTCCATATGCATTCTAAGCCTGCAGGAATCCTTACACCTGCAGTTTTGGATCAGATGGGAAACTTCACAGAGTAGGGTTTCCATCTCTTGAGCATACTCTGGAACTTACTGGTGGCTTAGCACACTGCACAAGATACACACATTTTTGGAAGGCCAGCGAGATGGCAACAGAATCAAGCAGCTTTTCCGTCAAAGGGAGAAGAGCATGCTTCTGGGTGACTGCCATGCAGGATTGAAACAAGCCTTGGATGTGTTCAAAGTGTGTTATCTCTCCTACACCATTGTGAAAGCAACTGCACAAAACATAGATAGGATCTGGGACCACAATTCTAGCAAATGCTCGCAAAATGCATGAGCAGACACAAAACCTGCACCAGGAATTAATAAACTTTATTTCAGAACTGTCAGATGAAGAAAATTCGGATGGCACATCCTCTGTATGCCATTGTTTCACTTCTGTTCGAATTGAGTCCGATAATGTGGGTAGATATACCAGATGTTTACCAGCTCACAAAATAGGTCAGTCAACTCTGAATCCCCACTCACAGATCGGGACTCACCATTCTCATAGCTCAAACTCATTCACCATACTGCCTGCCAAGTCGAAGATATTTCATGGCCGTGAATCGGAACTCGATCAAATTGTTAAAATTCTCGACCAGGAATCGGCCAGGGTGGCAATTCTGGGTGCTGGTGGAATAGGAAAAACAAGTTTGGCCAAAGCTGCACTCCACCACCCCGAAATTACTGCTAGATATGAACATCATAGGTTCTTTGTGGTCTGTGATTCAGCTACCAACAGCATTGAATTGGCAGCTCTGGTTGGGGCTAATATAGGTTTGAAGCCAGAAAAAAACCTCATCAAGACTGTTTTTCAATTTTTCTCCAGAGGACAGCAGTGCCTCTTGGTCTTGGATAACCAAGAGGCATCATGGGAGAACATGGGATCTCGTGCTGGAGTTGAAAAATTCCTGTCCCTCCTCACCGATATTTCACATCTTGCACTGATCGTAAGCCTAAATCACCATAACAATTCAAATTACCAATAGTGTGCTAGGTCACAATGCGAGGGGCAGAGAGGCCAGCCAAAGTCCGGTGGACTCATCCATTGTTACCCCCTCTGAAGCCCCTCTCATATGAAGCTGCTTGGCAGACCTTCATCGACATTGCAGATGATGTTCATGATAGCAAGGATATCACTGAACTCCTCCAGCTTACAGATAACATGCCCTTGGCAGTGGATCTTCTGGCTCATCTTGTTGACTATGAAGATTGCTCTAGCGTTTTGAGCCGTTGGCAGAAAGAAAAGACATCACTCCTGTCCGAGAGTCATGGTAAGACCTCTAATTTGGATGCATCAATTGAACTCTCGCTTTCAAGCCCTCGGATGTCAAGGGGTGCCCAGGAGTTATTTACACTTCTCTCAATTCTTCCCGATGGCCTCTCAGATCTCGAGCTCATCCACAGCAAAATGCCTATAAAAAATATCCTGACATGCAAAGTTGTGCTGCTCCAAACATCTCTAGCATATAGCGACAATACTCGGATAAAGGTATTAGTCCCAGTTCGGGAACATATGCAGCACTGGTATCCAACACCATCATATCTGGTCCAGCCACTTCAAAAACACTTTCATTCACTTCTTGAGCTGTACCGAAAGCGAATTGGGGTTCCGGAAAAGCAGGGCATTGATCAAATCACATCTAATCTTGGCAACTTACACCAGATACTGCTACGTGGATTAAATTTGCAGAATAAAGATGTGGTGGATACTATCCATTGCACAATCAGTTTAAACTCCTTTTCACGGATTAGTGGCTACGGCCGCTGTGCATTGATGGATGCAATTCCGGCCGTGTTCTCTCAGCTGCATGCTCCTGAGCAGGAAATACGCTTCATTACTGAAATGTTCACTACAGCAAACCAATGCCCTATCTCCGAGCCAGAGGTATTGATTGAGCAGAGTCTAAAGCATATGATGGATGTGAATGATGCCCGTCTTGCCTGTGAGTCCCCTACTAATTTCCCCTAAGGTTTATCTAATAACATAACACTGGTAACTGAATTATATTTGGCTGTTGCTGGCTATTATCACCATCATAAATATGACATACCTATGAGCATACAATTTTTCGGGAAGGCACTCACGCTAGCGAGGACTTGTGCAGACACAGACCAGGAGGCTCGTGTATTAATCCATACATTTTACCTCAAGCAGGATGTTGGTGATTATTCTGCAGCCTACAAGCATGCTCATGAGGCACAAGAGAAGTCACAAGTGTCTGGAAATCTATATCTGGAAGCCTTGGCAATGCAAATTCTAGCACTATGCAATAACAATCTGGGTATTAATAATAAAGCTGCTTTGTTGTGTCAACAAGGGAGACACCTTTTGAGTTTATGTGGTATGCATGGTAGTTTAGCAGAGCGTGGGCTCGTGGTGATTGAGGCTGAGGCTTATGTCTGTAGATCCGAATATCAGGAAGCTCACAGAATGTACACCAAACTTGTTCAGGGCACATCTCTCCAGAGAGATCCATGGAATTATGCCATCGGCCTGCTCAATATTGCCCACATTAATATAAAGACCGGAGAAGCAGAAGAGACTGTGTCTAAAAAGCTGGAAAAAGTGAAGAATGTCTTCACCAGTATGCATTATCCTGTCGGCCTAATTTACTGTGACATGGTGTTGGGAGATCTCAGGCTTAGAGAGGGGAACACCACCGATGCGAAACTTCTATTCTTCCAAAGTCTGAAATTGTCTTGGGGAAAACATTTTGAGATTGTGAACAACTGCCTTGAAAGACTTGCTGATATTGGGCACTGGATTGCTACTGACTCAAAGTGGCCATCGTCATGGACAATACTTTACTTTGTGTGTGCTATGAAAACAAAGGACAGGCTGTTGCTGCACAAAGCAGTCCAATTCCTTGGAGATGTATTCATGTTTGAAGGAGATGAAGACACAGCACATAGCCTTTTCAATACAGCACTCAAAGGATTCATGTTTATAGATGACCATCAAAAAAAAGCTGATTGTATGCTTCGTCTGGGGGATATTGAAAACCAAAGGGGTAACCTATCACAAGCAGTGAATCTTTGGACAAATGCTCGCCCACTGTTTGAACGGTCAAGGCAGGGCAAAGACATTGCCAAAATTGACACTAGGCTTGCTGCTGTTGAGAAGGATATTTTGGACAAGCATGAACAAGCCATTGGACATATTATGAGTTTAAAGGCACCCACCACAGCATTAGATGATAAGGAATATGAGTTGAAGATTGGAGAGGTCGAGAATATGATTGCCCAGGATGGAGAAGACACATACACAGCTCATGTTCCAGTCTAATTTCTGTTTAGGCAAAACTTCGCTTTTAACTGTTTCCTATGTAGTGCACTGTCTGTTCAACCAGCAATTGTAACTTTGTAATTGCCTGTTCAACCAGCAACATTTATTTTATGAATCCCTGTGCCAGCTTGAACCTGTTCATCCTGTAAATTAAATTGAATCTGAATTGATACGGATGCGCAAAAAATCCACCTGAAAGACTAACTTAAAGATAACCAGGTCTTCAAATATGTAGAGACGGGGCTCGAACTCTGCTTAGCTACAGGCAAATGAACTGTTTGACCACTTAGAGGTCATTGTGGTGTTGCAAGTGAAAATTACTAAGATGGAGATGGAGCTAGGGAGCAAAGTGGCTTGCCTATTAGTAAGCATAACACATTTTGAGTATTAATGTATGATTTTATTGTCTCGCGTTATAGAGTCTGAGATTTTGGCTCAGGAGGCTAGAGTGAGGACAGGTCATGACAAAAAATCTTCACATACAAATAGGCAGATGTGGGAAGTTACACCCCTAATTTATAAGAGACTAAACCGCTAGTGGCATGTGATACCTGTGCCGGCTCATTCCCCTCATTCATACCTTGTGTATATCCACCAATAAACAATGCAGAATGTGGGGATTCGAGCCCCACCAACTTTTTTTCAAGCTGATCAACCACAGCTTATTGAGGTCCTTCAATTTCACAGAAAGTGGCAGGGAATCGCACCAGGCCCACTCATTCCTCATTTTGCTAGCCGCTCACCTGAGGTAGATAAGAAAGCAACAACATATTTTTAATGATAGGGAACGGCCAGGAATGGCCGGCGAGCATAAACACAAAACCAGATTGGGGAGTTCCTCTACATATAGATAATCCACCTAATGGAGTGGGTGGTTGAATAAGACTCACATGAAACTTATCCAGGCCTTGTCTTGGATCCCAAGCAAGAATGCCCCACAGCGAAATCAACAGTCCTCAAAAGGCCTTTTTCAGGTCTATGGTTATCACTTTTGCTCAAACTTCTCACTCGCGATTAGCAGCACCTTTCGAAAAATTATGTCACCAGAAGGCTGCCCGTGGAGATATTGGTGATTTTTCTTCAGTCCACAAGACATTCAGACGGAGGAGTGGAATATTTCGAAATGATCCCGATCGCCGGCAACTCCAGCCTCAGACCGTAAAATTCTGAGAGTTGGCAGAATCGTGGCCAGGACATGCTGAAACATGCCCCAACAGCCCGAGACACCCTGAGGAAAATTCGGAACTAGATGCGATCAAAGCCATTATCATTTCTGGCCGCTTGTCTGTGGGGAAAAAACACCGAAACTTGATCATTTACGCGCGCGCAGGGAGTCGAACCCCGTTCAGCTGCATGCAGCCAAAGTTTACTCGAAATCCTTACAGCGGTGTATCGTACACCACGCCTGTTTGTTCCATTCATTTCTGCCTCCCTTACTAGGTTAACGAAAATCATAAATGATGTCGAGCGCCGCAACTAGCTAATGTTCAAGTTGACCCTCTACGACCCAATCGAGTTACTCCACTGCATGAGAAATCGCAGATGCCCACCCAAGTTCCCTCTCAGCCACTCCTGCGAGCCACAAAAAAGTAACAGAATAACCCTAACGTATGCGGACGCGGGGAGTCGAACCCCGGTGAGCTACTGGAAAATACATTCCGAATGATGGCATGCAGCGGTGTACCGTACACCACGCCCGCTTATTCCCTGCTTTCATGCGATGCATTTATCCATCCAGTTTAATTATTGGACGTCCGAATCGCGTCTCCGCTCGGACCGGTGCCGGTGCCCTTTCTCGGCAGACTCCGGCCCCCCTGCTCGAGCCTGGCCCCCGCGCAGCCCGTGTCCGAGTCCTCTTCGAGCCCGTCCGCCCCCGACGCACGTACTAGATATCTGCACATCCATCGCTGCGCTGCGCCGAGAATGAACAAAGGACACGTGCCGCGCGCGTCGGACGATCAACGGTCCAAACATGCGCATACGCGCTCCCTCCCTACTCCCCTACTCCCTTTCGATTTGAACTCCCGCCGCTGAGAGGACGGAATCCCGCAAAAAAACTCAATTCACCCGGTTAACGAACGAATCACCCAACGAACGAACGGATCACGTCCCAGGTCCAACGAACGAACCGAATTAAAGCAAGGCTACGCTACGGCGTACAATTTTACAAATTACAATTAGAACTAGTTGTATCTAATTTGTGTTGTGTTGTATCTAACAGGATTATAAACGCGTCGTGTAAAGTAGGGAAGCAGATATCTAACGGGGCAAGAATGAATTCCAAGAAGCAAGATGAGGGCGCGGGGAGAGAAGGAGAGAGGAGGAAGGAAGGTGAGTGAGCAAGTATAATGAGCGATAAGTAGCGATAGGTCAGAGCGAGTAAGCCGGTAAGCGTGGTGAGGATGAGTGGAGTGGGAGTAGGCTAGAGACATAGGCTGTCGCGCGCGCTGAAGAACGCTGTGTCGCGCGCGGCGTCGCGGCCGGTATTGCTGCGGCGCAGCGTGAGCGGGAAGGGCGAGCTCGCGCGCGGGCCGCGGCCGCGCGGGGGGTGCGTGTGCGTGTGCGTGTGCGAGCGGCCGATGCGCGGGGCTGCTGCGCTCGAGGCGGAGGGCGTTGGGATCTCGGGCGTCGTCGGCGGGGTGGGCAGCGAGGTGGGGAAGGCGGGGGAGAAGGACGTGGAGGCGCTGAGGGCGAGGCAGATGGGCAGGAGGACGCGAAGCGGGGGGACGTCGGCGTCTCGGGCTCGGGCTCGGGGTCGGGCAGCGTGAGGGAGAGCGTCCACTCCTCCCCCTCCTCCGTCTCTACCTCCTCCGCCATCTCCTCCTTGCGCGGCGTCAGATTGAGGTTCGCGATGCGGCGGAGCCGACGGCCGGGGAGGCGGCGCGCGCGGGGGCGCTGCAGGGCGCGGGGCGAGGAGGGCGACGGAAGGGCCTCGCACGAGCGGTGCACGACGCGCACGGCGCCCTTCGCGAACGGGTCCGCGTCCGCGCCGACGCCGACGCCGAACTCCTCCTCGACCGCGAGTGAGGCTACAGTGAGCACGCTCCACGGGCGGTGCAGCGTGAGCTCCTGCGCCTGCCGTCCGCGGAGCTTTGCGGGCGTCGCGGGAAGGTCGGCGGAGCTGCACCCGGATGCGGAGCTGCTGGAGTGGGAGAACGAGGAGGCGGTGGGCGATGGGGGCTGCGCGTGCGAATGCGAGCAGGACGACTCGGTCGAGGGTGCGGAGGGGGCGTGGATGGCGTAGGGTGCGCGCCGCTCGTACTGCACCGCGAGGGGGAGGTACGGCGTGAAGTCCTCCGGCGGCGAGCTGATGACCGACGGCACCGAGACAGCGGGCACGACGGAGGCGCGCGGCGAGAGCGCCAGCAGCGGCTTCGCGCTCGAGCTTGCGTTGTTGTTCGTAGTGGAGCGTCGGCGCCGCACGAGGCTCTTCAGCTTCGTGAGGAGGCGGCGCACGCGGCCGGTGCTCGCGCTCTGCAGGCTCCTGTTGATGTTGAGGTGCTGCGCGGACCGCTTGCGCTCGAGCGTCGCCGTGAAGAGCGCGGAGCTGCTGAAGGAGAGCGCGGGGGAGGTCGCGGGCGGGTCGAGCGCGGCGGAGACGAGGTCGCGGAATTCGAGGAGGGAAAAGGGCGGGAGGCGTGAAGAGGAGCGCGAGGAGCGCAACGACGAGAGCGAAAGCGAAGGTGGGGCGGGCGAGTCCATAATGGCAGGGAGCGAAAGCGAGTGCGCGAGGAAAAGGCGAGAGGAAAGGCGAAAATGGCGGCGCAAAAATGGTTACCTGGTTTACATACCCATTGGTTGGCTCCATGTCGACGGGCGACGTCGAACGTACGTCGACAGATGGCTGCGAGGAAGTCGCGAGGAAGACGAGAAGCAGAAGGACGCGTTGTTTGCCTAAGCTTGACGTTCTTACGCGCGCGTCGCGGCTTCTTTCAATTTTGCCACTTTGGGGAGTAATGAGAACAAACGGCGCGGGTCTCTGCGGATGGTTTCTAAGATTTCGGCAGGGAAAGGCTGAAGGTTGGGCTCACAAGCATCCAAATTCTCGGGTCGTGGGTCGGCTCGCTCCTCCTCTTCGCCTCTGTTTTATTCGCGCTAATAATGGCGTGCTCAGGCATTTGTTGTCCCCGGCGGCGGATTTTCTTCGCTGACGATGCGTCAATTAAAAAGCTTAATTAATTACAGTTTTGCGAAACAGACAGACCTTCCTTGCAGTATGAATCTCTGTACGTATCCACTTCTCGGTCCCGAGCGCTCGTCTCACATTCTGTTTGAAGTCAGCCTCAGAGGTCGTCCAGAAAACAAACAACGGGTTCCGCATCAAACGCAAGCGGAAGGACGAAGAGCGGCGTTTCCCCGCCCCCGCAGGCCTCGCGCCTCGTTCCAGCTCGTTCCCAGAAAGAAGCAAATTAATTGATAATCCGGGCACCTCGGCCTCCGGGTCCCGCCGAGCTGGCTGGTTCGCCGAGTAAGGCAAGGCAAGGAAGGCGAGGCGACGCTTCTCCAATTTGCGTGCATTTGGACGCGCGGGCTTCTGCCATACCAGACCGTCCCGGGGTCCGATTTCTGGGCGTTGGGGTTGCCGGATGCGGGGTACTAGTGTGGAGGTGGTGCCGAAATACATGTGCAGGGCTCCGCCGTCGTCAGGCTCAGCCAGGCGTTTAATTTGTCGTCCAGCGAGAGGCGCTTGAGCAGAGACTTGGATCCGCTGCGCGATTCCTACGGGAGTCTTTTCGCGGCGAGTGCAGACGGCCGAATTCGGATGCCCGAATACAGGCTGCCGAAGGATTCAACGGATTTCGAATAGGGGTCAGTGGATGCGGTCTAAGTGGTAAGCAGGCGCGAGGATGACGCGCTGTTAATGTGGATGTAATGCGGCAAATAGGGTGCTGGACTAGGTGTCGTGTCGCGTCGTGTCGTGTCCGACCAGACGAGGATGCGAGCATGCGAGAGGGGAGCCGAGGCGAGGAAGCGAGGTAGTTGTTGACAGCCTACAGAGGAGGCGAGATGGGGACGCACAAAAGTGGACGGACGGACGGAGGATTGGTGGTATGTTGGGATTCCGGCCCACGCATGCCGTATGGGGAAGTGAGTAATTTTGGCGCAGCCACTTAAATCAGGGTTAGGTGAGGTATGTAACCCGGAGATATGGCCGAGGCCGAGAGGCCAGAGTCGAGACTAGGGCTGGATTCTAGCCGTCCAGACGCCAGGGCAAAAGCGTCGAGAGGCGAGAGGCGAGAACGGACAGATCCACGACAGAACCGCGCTAGCTATAGTCGGGCTCGAGAACACGGCTGCTCGGTTCTATCGATCACTATAGGGCGAACAAACGCGGAGGACGTGATGGCCGGGGAGTAACGTTGTGGACGATGGACGCGAACAGGTCCAGTAATTATAAGAGGATTCCGCAACCGGCGGGGGACGTACGGGGCAGACACGGACGGGGTTGGGGGATGATCGCTGGGCACTTCATTGGGATGGTCACGGTGCCGCGGGAGGCAGCACCGTCGGAGGCCTAGAGCGGCGGTGGCATTTCGAGTGCACGTGTACGTTCGGCGCCTGCGTACTAGTCCGACCCGACGACGAGGAGTATTGACCAAGCCGAGAGTGTTGGCTTGCAATGATCAATCGGGGCGGCGAAACAGGAAATCAAGGCGAGACAAAGCCGAGACAGCAAGGCAGCGAGAGGCACGACGGGCAATATCCAAGATGCAGGAGACAGCTTCAGACTAGCACGCTGAACGCAGTGACGGACGAGCGACTTGAATCAGGTCGGTGGCAAAATTTGTACTGACGAAGACTCGGAGGAAGCACTCGTACTTGCGCGAGGGTGAGTGCGAGGGCGAGGTGCGATGCCGACGATGACGGGAGAGCGCGACTCGGTTTTGGAGAATGAATCAAAATCACGATGGGATTAATGCGCTCGGTCTCCAGGCCACGATGGGCGGGACCGTGCAGGAAGGTGGCCACAAATTGATGCGGATGAAGTGTGTTCGCATCAATGGATGTCTGATGCCTATCACTTGCAAGCTGCTGCGACCCGCCCCCCCGCCTCCGGGTGAAGTTGGAACTTCGGTCGAGACACGAAGATACGCTACTGACCGGCTCCCGGGGTTCTCGAATGTATTTAGCGCTCAAGCGCGTGAAAGTTGAGTCTCACTGTGGACTCGGCGCTTTTCTGTGCGGGCAACAAGAAGTCCGGTGGGTAATCAACCTTTTCTCTGTTGCCTAAACCACTCTGTTCCCACTGGATCCAACCGCGGTTTATTAAAAATTCTACCATTCACGATTTAGGAAGCCCCTAGCCATGAAGGAAAAGCATCGCTTTTCGGCTTGCCTGCGTGAGGCAAAACCTGAGAGGCGCTTCAAGCGCCGTCTCATCCATCTTCGACACGAGACGCTGGAATATTAACAACGACATCGCAGCGTCCGGCCGCCGTGCGGGATCTCGACGCCGGAGTTTCCTCACAAAGGGCATGATGAAGTCGAGTCCTCTATAAAACTGCGCGGGCGTGTCAATTGCGTGGCGATAGATATAATTTGGATACATACCAGGAGAAACTCGCCCAGCAGCATCCCGCCAACGAGGCCCACATCAGCCTTGAACGCGTCGTACGGGACCGTCTCGGAGATCTCGGGGACGTGCTTGCGAAGCCGGCCGCGTTCGCCGGTGACCAGCTGGCTCGCTTCCACGTACGGA